GCAATAGGTTGTGCAAAATAATCGGAAAAAGCCTATAATTAGGAAAGTCATGTGTTGGACACATCAGATTTTTATTTCTGTGAAAATTGATGATTTTCCATCTAGGCACACAGCTCACTATTAGAATATAAGAAATATTTATCATATGCCAACTACTTTTTATTAAAAATGTTTTGCTTATAATTTTCTTTAAATTCGATATAGACTTTAAAATCCCTTGTAACATTAGCTATTGTTTTTAAAGATGAGAGAGATTTGATTGTGCAGTTATTATCAAACCAGTGTACAGGAGAATTATTATTTAAATCAATATTTCGATAAGGGAATTCTATAAAGATTTGAAGATCTGTTATATTGTGCGCGGTGGTCAGTAATATAAAGTTCGATAAACCCCGTATCAATAAACTCACTATTTATGTCTGTTAGAAAATTATTTAGAAATGTTGCAGATGCAGCTGTAACTTTTGTATAAGCATCTATTTTTAAAGATAAACCAAAATAAAATAATAGGTCTACAAAATCTTTTTCATTTGATATATAGGGTGTCCATAATATTTTGCTGTTTTTAGAGAGAGCTAGTTTGGCAACGTTATATGTAAGCGATACAAATCTTTATTTGTCAGGTCAAGGAAGGATGCGGATTATTTATTAACAATGGAGAGGTGGATAGGATAACATCCCGCGCTCTTCGTAGAACTTCATTTAAAAAACCAAGAATCGTAACGTGGAGGCATGCCGCCTTTTTTTGCAATCGTTTAAATATTCGCCCCCCAAGAAGTCCTGACTATCCTATATATCTAAAGTCTCATGTGTACGAGTCACCTCCATCCACTCTAGGGACTTTAAAATTGCGAATTCAAGCTAAACTAAACGCTATTTCAGAGGAAATGATACGAGCTGTTCTTACAATTTAATGTTCAGACTTCAAGAATACGTGTCACGCGAAGGAAGACATCTGGAGAACATTATTTTTAAGAAATACAAAATAAATTTAAATATTTTTTAGGCAAAAACATTTGGTTCATTTCAGCTGAAAAACACCAAAACATTAAGAGACCCTATACCTTTAAAATTTATATTGAAATCACCTACAATTATTATTTTGTTATAGTTTTCAGAACAGATTAGAAGACTCTCAAAAAGATCTTAACATTTTTTATAATTACTTTTTTCAGTTCTATAGATTGTCACCAAAATGGCTTTAACAGATGTAAATTCTGCTGCACAAAATTTACCTTCAATTTCACAAGTGTAAATTAATAAAGTAACAGCCTTTGCTGCTGTTTGTTCTCTACAGAAAAAAATACAAGTCCGATTATAATAAAAACAACATCGCTACGTATGACTATTATTTCAAATTTCCAATTTTTATCATCTATAACTAGCAATAAATAAAGAATATGTGAGTTGTTTCGTTTAAAAATATTATTCCTACATTTTTATAGCATTAACATGCCACTAAACCTCCAGCAGGCGGCGATAGCCAACGAATTACTTTTCCAATTGATAACGTAGCTGTATTCATCTTATTGTAGTCGGACCATAAAACCACGTAATTGTAAACTTCTCAATTTTGTTAAATGTCGATTGTGAAATTGGTTCTCGGTTGGGAAATTTATTATTAAATAAATTATTTACATCTTTCTGGGTCCTTGTATTATTTAAATTGGTTAGTGTGACTTGCATGTTACGGCACGAAAGTCTGTATTTAAAGGTTCCTCATTTCATTGTCAGTGACAGCATTTACAATTTTACCAATTTATTATTGGGTATCAATTAATAAATGTCAAAAATAATTTATAATTTAAAACTATATATTGCAACACCAACATTTCATTTAAAAAATGTATCGATGACGTCAAAAAAAGGGTAATCTGACGAAACGCCCGTTTGCAGATAGAAATCGACGGGTTTCAGGCTTTTTCTATAAAGTCGCCGGTTTACTAAATAATGAATTTATTTCTTTCATTGACACCATACTGTGGCCCTGTTCGCACGGCGATCAGAAACAAATCACAAATCACTGCACAGTATATAATTTAGTGGTCCCACTAATATACTGTTGGTGATGCGTTTCTGATCGCTGTGGTAACATAACAACCAATCCATAACTCAATCTGTACATGATCATCAATTTAATAATATCATTATCTAGCAAAAAGCTAAATTCTATATCTAGCAAAGCAAGCTCAGTTTTTTCAAAATGTCTTCATTCAACAGTTAAGTGATCGGGTGAATTTTTGTACTTCACTATATAATATAGTGTCCCAAAAAAAGAACTATACAAATCAAAAAAAGTTGATCCAAGTTTCATTTCACAAAAAAAATTATAAAAAGGTCCAAGATCACATCACTTGGAAATCCATGCATCAAATTTATAAAATTCATAAATTTACAATATATACTTAAGCACTGGTTGGATTATTTAGTGAATAAAGTAAATAGATATCACTCAAAAAAGTATAATCACTTAAACTTGGTCATACTTTTTAATGGACTATAACAACGCACCTGAATTTTCAATCCTATTTACCTAGAAACAATCAATAATGGTGTTTATTTTTACAAGAAAACATTGCTTCATTCATTTAATCATGCATTTGAAAGAAAATTGGGATTATAAAAAATCATTGATGAAAATTCCCGCCCAAAATTACCATATAGAATAACTATATATTGCTACAAAGGTTTTTTCTTCTCGTAATACGTAAATATTTTCAGTGTTATGTATTTTTGGTCTAGTTGTCTCGTCTTATTTGACTTTTGTGGAATTTTTTTAAATTACCTGATTCTCCCTTCACAAGACCAGGGATTCATGTTCAATACTTATGAAAGATTCAAAAAATAGAAATATATTTACAGAATTGTATGGATTAATTTTAATTTCAAACAGACAAATTATAAACAAAAATGGCCACATTCGAGCAGTTGAATAACCTCTACGATTTAGACATTATATATGAAGTTTCTGTCACTTGGTGTATTTGGAAATATAATAATGTTGCAAATATTTTATAAATGCACCTCAATGCAATCAAGTGGTTTAGGTTTGTAACCAATTTTACTGCAGATAAATATACTAATCATAATTTTTTTTATTATTTACCTTCTAATTTATAAAAACTGATCAACCTCCAAGTAAAAAAAAAATATGGATTGGAATTTTTACTATAGACACACGTCACAGGACATAGGTGACATAACATTTTCAACTTTAACAATTATTTCTTTGGCCTCCAGTGATAACTGAACGGCCAAATTTTGGTAAATAGTGGTAAACCTTAAAATGGGATAATAAACAAATTTGACCGTCATAGTCCATTAATATTTTGCTCTGTATTATTTAAAAGACCTCGTCATTATAAATAATCGTTTTTAATTTTACATTTTAAAAATCTGATGGTTGATTATGGATTTTCAAGTGATGCAGAACTTCTTATCAAGAATATTTTTTTGTGAAATATAAGATGAACTTTTCCCTATTTGTAACACTTTTTGGTACATCCTATATATATAATTTTTTTATGTGCAAAACCTAGATAGAATTGTTTTCCAACATTTTGTATAAACATCGAAGATTTTTGATATATTTTTCGAAACTACCACAAAGAATAAAAATATTTTTACATTTTCAAATCTACATCTGTTTAATAAAATAGGGAATTTTTTATTTTATAAAATAGGTACATGTACACCCTTTTTCTTTGAAAAAATAAAAAAAAAATACTTTTACTATTTTAGAAAGGACAAGAGAACTGATTATCTAAAAATAGATAAATTTTAATACTGCCCTTTTTAAAATAACTGATTTAGAATACTTCAGCGACATTTTGCTTACACAAACATATATCACAAAACTGTCCCAACATAACTGATACTACTAAATAGCATTTTGAATTTAATTAAAGCCTGATAAATGGCAGTGTTGTATTTGGCAATTCACAGTTTGGTCCAATCACTGAAACATTTTATTGCGAGAATACAGACTGTAGAAAAGAAAATGTAAATAAATTACGAGTAGTTTCTATCGAATAAAAACCAATTGTAAATTGACATATTCTTTGTGTCAATATATGAAAATTTGTATAACAAATCTATTAGGAAAAACGTTGGCCCTAAAAGCAATAAAAACATGTAAGGAACACGGATGCTATCAAATATGGTAAAAGGTGAAAATTTTCTAACACTACAGTCTTTTTAAGAAATGTCTAAATTTATGCCACTCTTAATTAGGACGTGGAACTAATTCTGTAAATTCAGGTACTATAGGTAATAGAATTAAATGTACAACTTTGATTAGATTGAAGAGTATATAAGAATTAAAGTAAAACACTCATTAAAAGGTTTATAAAACCAATCCGTCTTCTCAAATCTTAGAATAGAGTAAAAACAATCTACACAGATCACTGGCTGTTTTAAAAACAACATGAGGAAGACATTCGACTGTCTGTCGTTTGGGTAGACTGAATGAGGAAGATAAAGCTGCAAAGCATTTATTATGTACTTGTATCACTTTTTGAAGGTATAAGTTTCAAACAATTGGATTCATTGAGTTGGAAGATAACAATTTTAATTAAGTTTCATCAAAAAACAACCAGGGAACGTACCAGATAATGTTCACATCCTGTTTTCTGTGAATTATAGAAATAAATACGACTGGAAGCACAAGTTATTGTTCCATTATTACTAAATCTAACCTATCTGTGAAATTGCTTATGAAAATTTCTAATTTTAGCAGCAATTGCTTCTTTCATCAAACTGTTTCTACATTTCTTGAAAATGTAACACGTGCGACGTGATGGAAATTTCTTAAAAGGCTAAATATATTGCTATTATTGTGAATGTTTATTTCTCTCAATTAATGTTCAACTGCCTTACCCTAAATTTTCACCTTATCAGTTACAAACATGTTTTTAAACTAGGCAAAGATTCAAAAAGCACACTTCATTCTGTCAAAAATTACTCATTTTTTCATCACACGTTTCACTTCCAAATCTGACCTGGCTTCCTCGATTTGTGTGTTTAGCTGCTCAAAATCCGGACTCTGTTCCTTAATACTGTTCGACTGCTCTTCACCAATCGGTCTGGCGCTATTTTCCAGTTGAGAGACAAGAGAAAGAAGGCCCGAGCTGAGACTAGAGTTTAATACTTCGTTTGGAAGATCGAGTATGTACTTTGGTATTGATACCCCGCACAGGAATTGGGCTACTTCGTTTGAGAAGTTATTGCAATTGTGATTCAGAAGATGGTAGGTTCTTCCACTGAAATGTATAAATATTGGTTGGTTAAAAATAACAATGGACATGGACAAACTTTGTAAAATTAACCACGTCCAGGCTTTTATTGATATTTATTATATTATATTAAAATTCGACTAGAATTTTTGTATCCCATGAAATTTTAAATGTGAAGTCAGATAAAAACCTTAAAAATGTCATACAATAAAATTTATTGACATGTATGTAGGCAGCAATCACCATTTTTTGAGTAAATGGCGGCAAACTTCTTTTTTTTTGCGAAAATGAGTTAAACACCTAGATATATAGTTTTAAACACGCATAAGAGATTAAAATAAAAAACGCGAACCTTCAAAATCCCATTGAAATTTAATGTTAAAATTCAGGGTTACTTTCAAACCAAACAATCTCCACGTGCCAGTTGGTACCAAAACCAGCAAAATCCCAAACCATCAATCAGATTGACGAATGGAATAATGCTGGTTTTTACAGGCTGCGAATTTGTTAAAGAGTTACCAGTTGTTTTAATTTAGCTTAATGAACATTGATTTATATTATCTGTTTACCTATTAATAAATAATAATATAAACAACCCTTTAGTATTTTGTAATAGTTAATTAGTTAATATTTCACATATTTAGAGTCTAGAGAAAGAGTGCAGTAATTTAATTTGCACAACGAAGTACAGGTTCAAGACCTCATCCTTTAATGCTTATTTGTAGTTATAATGAAAACTTTAATATATCTGATCGGCTTAATAAAAGTTTTCGTTTAGATTTACTCATGTTTCCATGATTTTTAATGTAATAAACCTTTTCTTTTGAGAGATAAGTCAGACTTTATTCATGACTATATCGTATGTATTTTAAATGATTCGGAATTTTGTATTAGTATATATTATAATTTTACAGTTATATAAGAATAGCGAGTGTATTAGAAAACATTGCAAGCACAAGTACGCATAAACGACCTAGTGGACGTAAAGAATTATCTTTAATTTAATAATCTTCGAAAAGACATTGTTTCACTTTCTGTGGAGGAAATGGCCGCTAAATGTGATACCTATAATGGAGTATATAGTGTATAATTAACATTATTAAAAAAGATATAGTTATTGGAGAAGTCTCACATCCGAAAAAGCCACCAGGAAGAAAAAATACCTTTATTGAAACTTGGGTAAAAAATATAATAAGGCAAATGGTACATTCTTTTTTTCTTTTCAAATGAAATTCCTGTACTTAAAAAATAGAAAATAGCCCCACTCTTCCAAATATATATTTTCATCTGCAAAATATATTACAAAAAACGTGACAGAAACAGCTTTTTAACAGAGAAAGATGAAATCATTGTGTGGAGACATGATTATTTAAGGAAAATAGCGGACGCAAGGAATCATCATAAACAGGTATTTTATTTAGATTAAACATAGGTTAATGCTGGACATACAGTAAGAAAAATTTAACAAGATATCCATCAAAACTAAAAACAAGCCATTATGGAAGGAGTCTCTTGTGGATTGAAAATCCAACAAGAAAAGGAAATCGTTTAATAATAACCTACATTGGAAGGCACCGATGCATCCAGTCGATTAAAGGAGTCACAACCTACAACAAAATGGAAAAAAGAAGATGTTTCAAAATGGCTTCATTCAAAAAATATTATCAGTCCTCCTAAATCCTTGAAGGCAGAATTACTCGTAGCAAGGCAACATAAAAGCAAATTCAAAAAATATATTATAGATGGCCCGAGAAAAGGGAATTGAAATTCTGATTGCCTCCCACTGAACTGATCTGGTCACAATTAAAAGGTTGTTTCTCGAAACAATACATTTAAATTACCTGATGTGCGAAATTTGTTTTTGAAGGCAGTTTCAGATGTAAACGGAAAACATTGGAGAAAATGCATTGATCATGTTAAAAAAGGTGGGAAATTTATTTTGGAAAATGGATATAGCAATGTAAAATTTAATAGACCCTGTAATAATAAACCTCAGAAAAGACAATGAAATGAGACCAGTAGTTATATATAGTGAAGACAGTGACTTTTAAAGATAGTTCTTGAAATATTTATTTTTTTAATATTTGATGTTGTTATTAATTGGTTAAATTTAATTCGTTCAATGTTAAAGTGCAACAATTTTGTCAGAAGCATAAAGTTTATTTTTATTTTATGTAAATAATATAACTTTTTTCATTTAAAATTTAATCTACGAAATCCGTATACACCATTTTATATACCGTGACCTTATTTATATTATAAAAACTTATTTTGCACCTATGGAATGTGACGTTATATCCCCACTTTTACTGCACTCCTCTTTTATTCAGACCATATAATCAAACATGGCAATTTCCCAAAGTGAGTAGCAAAAGCGACAATCTCCATTTTGTCCTTATTTATTAAAATAACTGACGAATTGTTTATATTTATGCAAATCAGCATAAATAATTCTTTAACACTGATAAATATAAAAAAATGAATAAAACAACCCTAAACCTTCCCATGAACTTAAAAACAATTTTTTACAATTAATTCTTAAAAATGGAGATTGCCGCCTTTGGTTCTAGACCCCTCAATTCTTGGTGGCAAGCACTTTCATTCAGACACTGTCTTCTCTGAGATCTCTTCTCACCTTGCTTCGGGGACTTTTTTGTTATGAAGATGCATTTTAGTTGTCGCCGAGGTTGCCGCTGTCATGAAAATTTATTTCACATATGATGCAATATTAGACTTAATTGTATTCTAACCTATCCCTGTCATGGATTGATGCAAAACAGGACAACCTACATCTTCTAATTCAGGTAGTCGGCGTGAGCTTTTTGTCGCCCAACGTGGGGTCTGATTCATTGACGTTCATCAAGTGTCACTTAATATCACAATTAGAATCTTTTTTTTTAACAAAAAGTATATGTTTTAGGCCTTGAATATTTACATGGTGTGCATCCAAAGTTTTTGTAATCTACTGAACATTTATATACCTAATTTAATAAAATTAGGAGTACTCAAACTGATATAAAAACTTCTCTACTGGTAACTGGTGATATATTCATTTAAGATGACGTCACAAGTATATCAAAGAATTAAGACACGTTCAATCATATTGTGTTTTTATTTTAAGTATTTTTAATTCAATGGTCAAAATGACACTTCGACGTCATCTTTGGTGTTTAGTCCAGTTAGCAGTAGGAACGTTATCTACATCAGAATATTTAAATATCCCAAATGCCATTAATTTAAGTGTAATCATTCAATATATTACATGGGAGCAAGGACTTTGGACATTTACTGCATGTATACAATACTTTATGAATTGAAAATCTGACTTATCTAACTTACGCATTTACTCCTACAACTAAAGTTATTTGAGAGTTAGATTTGTGCCAATTCTATAGAATCCTAATCTTATTTTGTCAATTTACCATAAAATTTAAATGCAAACTTTTTCAACATATTCATCACGTCCCAGAATAGAAACAAACATTTTTTTTTACTTTGGCAAACAACCAAAAATGACTTGTTTTGAAAACGGTAGACCTTATTGTGGAAACAGGGAAAGTGATTTAACTTGAGCTTAAAAATACAATCATATATCAACAAGAACTTTAGAATCACTCTAACAGCAATAAATAATGTTAAGTGCTTCCTTGTAAAGGTGCCAATTAGTGATACTCCTCTATATATGCAATGATAAAATTAATTTGTGGATACTCGTTTGATAATGATAAAAATAATTGTGGAATGAACCATAAAAACGTTTCTAAAGTAGGCTTTGGAGAAATTCACGTATGTCGGAGCATTCCAATTCTTTTTGGATTTAATTCAGAGATGTGCAGTTATCAGAGACATGAACTGTATCTGTCTTTCAGTCATAGCCATGTTAAGAAAAAAAAAAAATGTGGATCACTCTTTATAAATCATCAAGGCCGTAGGTAAGGGGGGAATGGAGGTAATTACCACCCCCAAGCTATTAAAAGTTAAATAAATACAATAAAACAAAGAGTTTCTCAAACATTGTCATCTAAAATAAAAATATTCCTGTAAATTGAACATTAAAATATAAAGTGTGTCCACTTAAGTTGAAACCATATGGAAAACTTTTTTGTTATTGGTTTTGTGAAAAAATTTAATCCTAATAAAAAGTTCTGCATGATCCAAAATTTAAAATGCAACCACCAGATATCAATTTTTTTAAAGCCGTATACGAGGTTTGTCAAAAAAAAATAATGAATTTTACTTAAGAGTAAAGTACCTTTATTCTTTATACGACTGATAAAATTTGATATTTGATGGATGTATTTTAGATTTTAGACCATGCTCAACTTTTTATAAAGTGAGACAATAATTACAAAGTTGCCTTTTTTAAAGTAAATTATTTTAAAGTTATAAATTAAAAAAAAAGAAAAGTAATATCTATATAAATTATCAGTTATCTGGATGGTTAGTATTTCGTCTTTGGAGACTGACGCATCAGCCTATAATTGGGTTCTGACAAGATTATTTTTATTTATTCTATAATTATTAGAAAATTATTTTGTATTTTATATGTATTATTATTATGTTAAATTGATAGGTAATTATCCCAATGACTGTGGATGTACTCTCGACAAGTCACTCGTGACTTAGAGAATCCATTCCAATCAATGTTCTGTTAATGTACTACTTAAATTATGTAAAATAAACGATTTGATTTTGATTTGAAATAACTTTTTCCTAAAATTAGTAATAAAAAAGTTTTCCCTATGCCACCAACTGTCTACATAAACTGGCGGCATATGAAAAACTTTTTTGTTATTAATATTGGGAAAAAGTTATTGTTTACAAAAAGTCGAGCATGGTCTAAAACCTAAAATACAACCATCAGATATCAAATTTGATCAGTCGTATAAAGAATAAAGGTACTTTACTCTTGAGTCAAATTCATATTTTTTGATTAACCTCATATACAGCTTAAAAAAATTGATATCTGATGGTTGCATATTAAGTTTTGGATCATGCAAAACTTTTTATCAAGAATAAATTTTTTCTCAAAACCAACAGGTAGTAAAAGTTTTCACCATATGGTTCTAACTTGTAGACACACTGTATATATACAGGTTGTTTCAGAATAAAGTACCGTAAATTGAGATTTTAACTAATTATAAACAAAAGCTAAACATAATTTTGCTGTAAACGTCTCAGTTTTCATTCTACAGAGTAATAAAGTGATTTTCATAATTACATAATTTTCTTAATATCTTTTCCTACATTAAAGACTTATTTCGATAAATTACAATAACCCATTGGCGTAGAATCAAGGGCTAAGAAAACAATTTTAATCCAAACTTTTTGAACACCCTATATTTCACTTTGAACACCCTATATTTCACAAAAATTAAGATTAATAATTATTTCTTACTCTTGGTTGATCTCTGTAGAACATTCGAGATTTTTCAGTTTTAGTTCTACAAACACATGAAGTCTATATACAATAATTTTATCAAGGGCCGATTTCATAATGAGTATATTAAAAGGTCCATTAACGTGACCAAGATTTTCTGGACCTAGTGGTTCCATTAGTTAATGTACCTTTTAATATTGATTATGAAAACTTCCTTTAATCAAAATTTGCATTTTTGTAATTTCATAATGTACATAGTAGGACTAGACGTTAAAACTGAAAAGTCTTGGAAATGGAATGGTCTACAGAGATCAACCGGAAGTCCCTTTTTTTTGTGACAAATTGCGTGATAAATAATTATTAAACTTAAGTTTTATGAAATATAGGGTGTTCAAAAAGTTTTCATTAATATTTTTTCTTAGCCGCCCTTGATTCTACGCCAATGGGCTTATCGTAATTTATCGAAATAGAGTGTGTTAACTAATATTAACAATTAACTAATATATACATATTTTTAAGTTATAGTCTTCACCGTAAGGGAAGATATTTAGATAATTATGTATTTAAGAAATTCACTTTATCACCCTATAGAATGAAAACTGGGACGTTTATAGGAAAATTTATAATTATTCAAGATCTAAAAATTTCCAAAATTACGGTACTTTATTCTGAAATACCCTGTATACAGGGTGTCCCGAAATTAGACGGTCATATTTTAACAGCCTAATCTACATCCTAAAATAGAAGTAAAAGTTTGTTTTCCGAGATACAGGGTTAAAAGTGAAGTCCTGATGACACACGTTTGTGAATATTTTCTAAAAGTTTAAAAATAATTAAGTGAAATTTGGTACAAATGCTTACCTGTTTATGCTCTATTTAATATACTAAATTATGGAGGGCTTAGGGTAAAATTGCCCCAAGTTTTTTTTGATGACAGTTTTTAACATTTTTGACTATAAAATTTGGAAAATCAATGTTTTCTTTATAATAAAGCACCTTTTGTTGCATCTCGCTAGGACGCACCATTTTCAAGAGAAAAGCATTTGAAAATTTCATGATAAGTTGATGTTATCTTATTCGAATGTGTAAACAATAAGTTTTAGGCCTGTGGAATCAGAATTTTTTTTTAACTTTGGAAAACACGTGACTAAAGAAATTTTAGAAAATATTTACAAAAATGTACCATCAGGACTTCACTTGTAACACCCTGTATCTCGAAAATGAAACGTTTTCGGACCTATTTTTATATGAACTTTTACTCCTATTTTAAGATATAGATTATGCTGTTAAAATATGACCGTCTAATTTCGGGACACTCTGTATATAAATAATTTTTTTTGTGTGTCGTCGGCATCAACTGCTACGGTTATTAACCTCGTGTTCTGTGTAGGCTTTGTTACTGTTTCCCAGCGCCACTTTAGGAACAGCACTGTTAATTAGTACCCAACAGTGAATGGCCGAGTGGGAATAAAAAATTAAAAACAACTTCATTATAAAACTCATAGTTTTTTTCTGGAAATACACTTATGAACTCTATACGTTGCATTTTGCATTGTTACCATATTTTAAGATTACATGCTGTGCATTCACCAATAATCTGAGTAGTGTTACCCTCCCCCCCAGAAAACAACCTAGCTACACGCTTGTAAATCAGTACATTATGTGTTTATGTAAACATGAAATTTATGATTCAAACATCAATCCCTACAATGGTTAAAAGAAATTAAGTATTAGTGAAAATATTTTTTTTCATTAAAACGGCTTTTAAATTAAATGCATATAATATTTATAAATTACATCTATAGGTCAGTGTAAGAAACCTCTTATTACTTTTTTAGATTGAGGCCAGCATGATCAATATACAGGGTGACTTGACTAGTGATATTAAGGCTCAAATTATTATTTGTGTTACTATTATTTTACTAATGCCTTATTATTAAAATATTATAAAGCTAAAAGTAATTTTTTATCAACAGAACACATACTTTTTTATATGATTGTATAGCAAGTATCTACTATAAATAAACTTTAAATTTAAAAAAAAAAATGTGGAATTTTAGATCAAAAAATACATTCATACAATTTAGTACTATATTCTACAGAATTCCTCTTAAATTTATTTAGGCGTTGCATTTTTAATAGATCTCTTATAAATGTGTTCAAAACATACTGTAAAATTAATTTTAAATCGGTAACTAGCGAGGTAACTAGGTCAGCATTCTGTTGAGATTAAAATTCTCTTCCATTTTTAAAGCATACTATATTAATTTATTATTTAGTAGTATTAAAGCAAATTATAGTTATTATTAGGTATTATAGTTATTAAAATTTAGTTGTTTAGTAATGCAAAAAAGTACTTACGCATAAGCTGTTTCAGATAATCCTTTTAAGTAGTCAATGTATACAGAGTATGGAACTTGTGTATCACCCAAATTTTCCACCCTTAATGGATTTCCTATAGCAGTAGTACCCTGCAAAAAAACAGCACCTAGGAATTTTCCAAAAATGAAGTGTATTATATTTGGAACCTCACAAATAACTCCGCAATCTTTTATTAGGTATTCAGTGTAGGTAGCAAAAAATATTTTCAAACCCACAATTTTTTGAGTATATTATAAATGATTTAATCATAACTTTAGCTGTTTCTTCTTATTTAAGATAATTGTACTTACAGTTTAAAGCAAATTAAATGCACAATAAACTTTAATCAAAACTTAAATGAAAACTGTTCTTGCCCACACTATAACAGATGGGATTTTATTTTTAGATGTTCCAAATTTAGAATTTTCAAACATAAAAGTAGAATTACGGTGAGAGGAGCCAAGAATTCTGTTACACTAACTAGTATAGATCAAACAGTAGTAGCAAATTAATGTAATTCTATACCTTTCTACAAAAATAACACTAGACATGTCATTTGCAATACCTGAACTTGTTTTTTACAAAGACCTGAAGCATGAATTAAATAGAATTGCTGTTGAGTGTTTCAGATAGATTCAAGAAGTTGGTACAAAAAATAAGCATATTAATAGATGTTATAGTGGGTTATATACAAAGTTTTTTGGCTGTTAGTTTATTGTTAATACTTACCGGATTACAACTTTCAACGCCTCTAGAACCAAAAAAATATTCTCTATTATAAACTACAATAGATGTGTGCCAAATTCCATCTATCTTTTTCCCTAAATAAAATAATATATAATTATTTTTAAAATATAACCTCAAAATAAACTTTGTATTTACCAAGCAACATTGGTGAAATTGCTGATGCCATTCCTCTAGACAAATCGTAGACGTATAATTCCACTTTATATGAACTCATTTTCGTTTTCTTATTTCAAAATTTTTTGACCATACAAGCACTAGATCAATAACTCCTAGTTGCTCTCCTAAACTGTCAAAATGTTGAAAAAATAACCCTAAAAAATAGCAATAATAAAAAATTGTAAATAATCACAACACTTAAAATAGATTGCGACAAATTTATTTTTATACCTTTTTACAAAATATTTAATATCAAAATCATGCAGATGATATCATACACACCGGACTGAATATTCTAGAATGTGTGATTTGCAGTTTCATTTGGAATTCGGCCATATACATTTTTCGTCCAAAACAAAGGTGTTAGAATGTAAAGAATTGTTTGGGGATTGGAACAGCTTCGTACAAAACAATAGAAATGCCCACGTAGGAATTTGTATAAATTCACAGTCTAAAATACGAAAATTATTACCTGCTCGTTGCCATCACCAACGATGACCGTATTTTTAGAATCCCGCGGTAGACTCAAATCGGACAATTTTTTTAATAAACAAAAAAATGAAAATTTTTCCAATTTTCGCATGCTATTTTAAGAAATGATAATAATTAAAAATTTGCAGAAACTATTAACGCAATTTATACACAGCCATAGTCGCCGACTTTTGTTTATCTCCGAGGGGGTCATACCATATATCGCACTGTGAGTACAAGACCACCATAACTCAAAATTTATCGATTTTGAGATTTGTGCGCTATTATAGTGTTCTAGATGCTAACTTTGATAATACAATACCAACATATCTCTAAATCGAAAGAATGTCCTATAAATAACAGAAGTGTCTTATTACTATTGAATTTTTCCTGAAAAAACTTTTCCTTATACCTACAACATCAACATAACTAAAAATATTGTTGTTCCTTTTTGAACATTCCCAGTGATTATGTCACGATATATGTCATGATATTTATATCTTGATATATATCCGATATATTAGATAATTTTATTTATTAAATTAAAAATGTCTTACACCATTCTGAACATCCGAAAATGTCTCAATACGCCCCTGTGTAAAAGTATAATAACATAACTGCATAGAAATCATAACTGGCGATTAATGTGTTTGCGTTAAAATATTAATGTTAACAAAATAATGTTAAAATCTGTTCATTTTATAATTTTTTTTTCTTTTTAATTTGAGTAAGAATAAACGGTTTTGTTGTTTAGAATATCGGTTTCTGTTAATATGTTTGTGTTAAAATTTAAAATATAGTTTGTGCAGAAACAATACTGTTATTTAATTAAATAATTAAATTTTAAAATTGTCAAATTAAGATTTGTTCACAGCTCCGTTTTTGTATTATTGTAACAATAAAATTATAATCACTTCAATAAAGCAAAAAATGAGGTATATGCCTATCTTTTAACTGAACTAAAACTTTAATACATAAAAAATTTAAAGCATAATAAAAAATTATTAAAACAAAAAACATGTTATGTGGGGAAAGGGGGGTAAATACACTACGACCTAAAAGATCTATTGTGCCTTTTTCTGTCGATAATGCAGCAAGAAAATATATCGATGCCTATAATGACCCTTCCAGTCCTATCTTTTCAAGGAAGTGTAGGATTTGGAGTGGCTTCAAGTAGTTCAAGTTAGGTAAATCTTCCTCTTTCTATTTGATTTGAAAAGAGGTTTCGTCCTCCTCCTCACAGAATCTGCACTTACTATCTGCTTCTACTACTCTCAGTTACAGGCTTCCGATCTTTCCTGGTTAAATTCACCCAGAAGTATCTTAGCCTGTCTTATCCCCAAGAAATTATTCCTATTATCGGTTCTTCTACTATACCCAATTCTTTTTTAATCTCTCCTAATATTGTTTCACTATTGTTTTACTGCTGATACCGCAGAACGGCCCAGGCCCACAAAGGGTGTTTGAGCCTCTTTCCTTGCGAGACTATCTGCAATATCATGACCCTTTACCCCGTTATGTCACGGGATCCAAGTGAGGGTAACTGTATTTTCCTCGCTTAGTTCATTCAGTTTTTCTAGGCATCTCCAAACCATTTTCGAGCTGATTACGTAAGAGCTCAACGCGTTGATGGCTGCTTGGCTATCGGACATGATGATAATCTGTTGTCTACGGTAGTTTCTCTCGATATTAAACTGGATATACACTTCTCAATGGCGCGAATTTCCGCATGGAAGATGCTAGGATATTTTCCCAAACTTTGAGGGTGCCTGGTTCTAGGCCCTTACACTCCTATTCCAGTTCCTTCTATGGTTTGAAAGCATCCGTCGTATATACCACTGAATAGCATGTCTTTCGGTTACAAGTGCGATGTATTCTTGGCTACTTTTTTGCAGGTGGTTTTGAAGTTTGTACTTCTCATCCTGAGACATGTCCCAAGTATCTTCGATCCTGAAGAAAAAAACGTACAAATACAATAAATAAATATTATTCAGCTGGAGAAAGTCAGCCGGAACCACTGAAATTCCCTATATGACCGGAACCGAGACGGATCATTATTTTATCTTAAATTGAATGTTCAGAACGTTTTTATTTTTGTAAATATTAAAATAAAATAATAAAATTAAGCCCAAATATTTTATGAGATTTTAAATGTTTACTGCAATCTTGTTGTAAATCACATTACATATAATATCGCAGAATCGAAAAAGAATTAAATTATAAAGATTTATGCAAGTGATTTTTACTTAGAAAAATTAATAGTTATTGGGACTTTTACAACAACTTTTTATTTTATATTTCCATACCTAGTCTATTATAAAATTAGTATGTGGTCTAAAATTAGTTAATTATCTTGCCAAATGTGTCTAAAATCTTTTATCAAATTTTTTTCTGAAATAAGATTGGTTTAAAGCATTAAATTTTTTTAGATCTCTATTTATTAACTACATGGAAATTCGACTCTATAACAAAAAAAAAATGTTTAGCTCATGCCTTAAAGTGATTTTAAAGCACATTTGGGCTAGATCGACTCTGATCAGTGAGCACTTGGTGAGGCAATATGGCAGCGCGCTGTGCGACCCTGTTTTTGTCGTTTTCCAGCCCTGCATATGGATAAGCAATCTATATAACTATATACTATTGGGCCAATAGAAAATTTAGTGTTTATGTATTGGTGAAACTGTTTTACTTTTTACTGACATATGTCTAAATTATTTGTATGTTGGTAGAATCTGAATTTGACAATTAAAAATCAAAATTACACTGACGAAGCTAGAAAAATATACATGGATAATATTTCATAATGTCGAAAAATAAAGCTATGGTAATATTTTTATAAATTTCTTAATTTTATATAGTTTTTTGTTGTTAGCTACAAACTTAAAAAGCTTTTTGAAAATAATCGTACATAACCTCAATTTAATATTTTTATTCACATTTTAGTTGTTGAGAGTACAATCTCCAGAGGGTACAAAGAGAATTGAAATACCTTCTACTTCCACGTCCTGTCAATTGTTTGAAGCTGTACATGATACATTCGAATTAAATAGTTTCGCTTTTGCTCTATACAAAGAGAAAAATAAAAAAAATGAAATTGCCAGCAGCAAATCGAAAACTTTACAGAATTTGGGTTTGCGACATGGGGACATGATATATCTGGCACCTGTAAATGGAGCAGTCTTATTCGTAAGTTTAAATATTTAGTAGTAATTTTTTCTATTAGTTAATTTCTAGAGTAATAATTCACCTGCTGGGGAACCTGCTGATGAATGCATGCCTTCAACTAGCTCTGGTTCAGCTCCTGCTATTGCCAGACCTTTAAGTCGATCCAGCACCAATAGCAAAGAAGATGAAGTAGATATACAGTTGATGAAGATTGATGGCAAGGTTGAAAGACAAAGAGATGATAAACTGTAAGTAAAATAAATAAAACATAGGCGAAATTTTGGAATAGACAAAATATATTTAAAATATTCATAAATAGATAAACTTAATATTCTTTGGTAGAAAACTGGTAGAGTACTTAAAGGATTTGTATTACTAGCTAATATACAGAGAAAAAAAAAATTATATTGGATTTCAGAGGAGTAAAACTTATTAGAGATTATAGACCTTTGGATCTTTGTCTATATATGGTTAAAATAAAAGAAAACTCGTCAGAGGTACATATTTTTTTGAAAATAGTCAATATTATTCAACATGTATTGAAGAAATAAAAATTACTGAGAAAATGAATTTTAATTTAAGTATACTGAATGTTTTCTATCATGATGAAGTAGATTATCACTGCTGTTAGTTTTAACATAATCCAAACCAGACTTTCTAATATCTAAAACTGCTTATAAGGCACATAATTATGATATATTAGATGCTAATTAAAATTCTTTTAATTTTTTAATGTCTCAATTTGGTGATATTATTTAATTGGGCTATTTATACTTTTATTATAAGAAAATAATTTAGATAACATAGTTTTCCCTGTTTATTATAATTTAGAAAATTTTGTTTGCAGTTTTCTTTTTATAAAATTCCTTTTTTAGTCAAGATTTTGAAGTGAGTAATATATTACTTATTTATGAAATATCTATCATCTTGTATTTTTTTTATAAAAAATTAAAGATTTACATATTTATGTTATTTCACAAGATAGGATTATCATTCCAGAATTTGTGTATACTCTGATAAAAAGACATCTATTTAACAAAGTGTATTTTGTAGAAAAATAAGTTTTGTGAATTTCAAGATGTTAAAAAGTATGGTGTATTAATTCTCTAATGGAATTAAACCAATTTCTATTGATACAATATATTCATGAATCTTATTTCCTGTGGAGTTCTTTAAATAGATTTAAATGTATTTTTGGAAGCCTAAATCTAGGTATCCTTTGAAGACAGAACCTCTTGTGCTTAAATGGCCTATGTCAGGCTGTAAAATTAGTTCGATGATATTTATGTATGCTTATGAATTAATAAAAATAAATCCATACATGATTATAGAATGAAAATATTTGTTGTCAAAGCATTACCATTACCTCATAATAGTATTCCATTAATTTGGTCCAGTGGTTTTTTACACATATGTAATTCATTCATATTTTTACTGTAAGTATATAACCCTAATAGAAGTTTTTTAGATCACATTTGAAATTGATACTTTATTTCCTTCTTTGGTCAACTAATTTTTTTATTATCTGAAGGGCATTTTACCCCTGTTTGGAGGGGCGCTAGTAATTCATATTTTTACTGAAAGTATTATTACACTAATAGACATTTTTTAAAAAACATTTTAAAGTGATAATTTATTTTCTTTCTTGGAAACCTAATTATTTTATTGTCCTAAGGGTATTTTACCCTTGTTGGGAGGGTCGCTAGTAATTCATATTTTTACTGTAAGTATATAACACTAATAGAAGGTTTTTAGATCACATTTAAAATTGATAATTTATTTTCTTCTTTGGTCAACTACTTATTTTATTATCTTAAGGGCATTTTACCCCTGTTAGGAGGGTCGCTAGTAATTCATATTTTTACTGTAAGTATATAACCCTAATAGAAGTTTTTTAGATCACATTTATAATTGATATTTTATTTCCTTCTTTGGTCAACTAATTATTTTATTATCGTAAGGGCATTTTACCCCTGCTGGGAGGGGCTATAGTAATTCATATTTTGACTGTATATATATAACGCCAAACATACATTATTTTAAATACATTTTTAAGTTATAATTTATTTTCTTCTTCTGTAAACTATTTATTTTATTGTCCTAAGGGCATTTTACCCTTGTTGAAAGAAGCGATAGTAATTCTAATTTTTACTGTGGGTATGTAACAGTAATAAAAGAATTTGAAATTATATTTTAAAGTATTAACTTTTTGCTTCCTTGGTAAAATAATGATTTTATCCTAATGGCGTTTTACCCCTGTTGGGACGGGTGATAGTAATTCATATTTTTATTATAACGTATTTTAACTAATAAAAATATTTTAAAACACAGTTTAAAGTGATAACTTATTTGTTTCTCTGACAAAATAAATATTTTATTATTACGGGGTAGTTTACCCTTGTGGGATTTTTTTATTATATCTAGCATATTTTTTGTTGAGTTAATACTACCATTATAAATATTGTAAAATACGTTTTGATGTGACTTATTATATTGTCGGGTAAAATAATAATATTATTTTTAAAGTATTGTATTGTCCTTTTAATTTTAATTAATATTGACGTAATAATTAAAAGAACATCCCATTATCAAATTTCGGTAGAAGTTTAATTTTTTTTTTTGTCCTATACCTAATAATTAATTGCCTCTATTTGAACGACGCTACTGAACATTCGGTAATATTCGGAATTTTGGCTGCTAAGTTCACACCGGTTAAAATAGTTACCAGAGCCAGTCTGGAATGCCATAATATTAGTATAGAATAAAACTAATTGTAGTATGATTTAATAACTGGGAGTAAATGTTGAAATTATTTCAATAATAAAAATGTTTGTGTATTTTCTTCCAGTTGTCGCCACAACAACAACTCAAGATGTGTTCATTGTTCACCATTAGAACCATATGATGAAGCTTATTTGAAAGAACATAATATTAAGCATATTTCATTTCATTCTTATCTCCGTAAAATGATGTCTGGAGTCGACCGTGGCAAGTTTTTAGCTCTGGAAGATATTTCTTGTCGCATTAAAGAAGGTTGCAAAGACCATCCACCATGGCCAAAGGGTATTTGTTCTAAATGTCAACCAAATGCTATTACTCTTAATATGCAGGTAGGTGCTATGTTAACCTTTATTATGTGCAATAAAGATGTAGATATTACAGTTAAAATATAAATCAATTATTATATTAGTAGTCTAATCACAGAGCATCTCTAAATTTACCCACATGTAATACCTTAAAGATAGAAACATTATGAATATCTAATAGAATTATAATATTTATTCAGCTTTGAGACATACATATTTACAATATTTTAAAAAGGTTAAAAAATGTACCTATAAACATATAAGATCTATTAGCCTTGTCAACACAGAATTTTAAAAAGTAGAGACATGCTACAATTGAGTTTAAAATAAAGTACAAATTAAAAATAGTATACAATAGGGCAAAAACATTAGATAAAAATTATAATAAACATATACCATTACCGATCACCGAGTATCATTCATAAATTCTGTATAGGAATAATATGTTTTTTATGAAAGATGTGCATAAAGCTTATTTTTGAAGACATTAATGATTTTTTCATTACCATTACTATTAAAACATGCAACACCTCTGTAGATTTCGGAATTCTGTCCAACTGAGAGTCTAGAGAAAGACCACATAAAAAAGACTTGTTTATAAGGTAGGATATAGGTATACTAATATCTTCAGCAATAAAAGACAATATTGTTCCATCTATTTCATCTATACCGGCAGATTTTTTACAAGTTGTTTTCTCTATAATTTCTGTTATTTCCTTTGGGGTAGTTGGAGTTAAAAATAGAGTGCTTATAGAAAAATCTTGAAGCCTTGCTTCACTATAATTTGGTAGAAGATAATCTACATCAGTAAACTGATTATTAAATATTTTGTACACCAGAAATTTTGTTGCCTTGACAATTTAGCATCTCGATGGGTAATTTTTTTACTGATTTTCCTTTTGCCTCATTTACAATTCTCCAACATTCTTTTGTTGAATTTTTTGCATTAATTACCCTTTTATTATTATAGGAAAGTTTTGCTGATTTGACTTTATTTTCATAAATTATTATGAGTTTTTTATATCTATCCCTAATAGTACCATTATTACTAGTTATGTATATACTATGTAATTCATACAGCATCTCACGCAGTGCACGCAGTTCCACGTTAAAAAAATTATTTTTGTGTTGTTTAGGTTTAACTTTTTTAAATGTAAAAGCGTTGTTGAAATGGTACAAAAAAGTCGAATAAAAACTGTTAAATTTTTTATTGAACTCAGATGAGTTATACATGTCTTCCCATAATTATATTTTCAAAGATAAGCTTGTTACTGTCACTTAAATCCCTAACAAAAGATTGTGTAGTTTCTATCTGATTGGATGATGTTTTACAAACTGTTATTTAATTATTTTAATCTTGGTAAACTGATATTATTTACATGTTTTTTATCGATTTCTTAAATATTTTCTAGAAAATTTTAACGAATATTTAATTTGTTAATGATTTGAGAAAATAGAACCTCATTTATTTGAATTTCATTAATAACAGTAACAATTCAAAGTGTGATTGAGAAAACACACCATCTTTCAACTCTAATTTTTCTCTGAATTGACGTTGGTATTACTAGATTCAAGGTTTTACATGTAGCGTTTAAAAATGTTTTGTGAATATGGAGGTTAGTTACTCCTACTCTTATCACTAATCTTGACTATATTTTTGTTAAAAAACGGAAAAACTGGTGTCTCTGTATTTTTGATGGATAACCAAAATACAATTTTCATGTCTATAACATTTTCTCTCATGTTTTTAGATACCTACTAAGGTACCCATTTAGAAAAAATACCTCTTGTTTTATCGTTATTATTTAATCCATATTTTTTTATTTAAAAATACAGGATTCCCGATTATAATTTTATGCTTATCAAACAACCTATTAGTATGGGATGAATAATTTCCAACCTGACCTCTTTTTTGATTTTAATCATTTGTTTACTATTTTGAATGACTGGAAACATAATTTTGATAAGTTAATTACAGGTGCTCTTTTTTAGACCTACAAAGACTATTTGAAAGAGTAAATCGGTCTCTTCTCATTAAAAAGTTGAAAAGTTTTGGTATTATTGAAAATGCACTACAATGGCTTATAAGTTACCTGGACAGTAGAAAACAAAAATTAACATTAAAAATATTTTATCAAAAAATTAATTAGGTGTACCCCAGGGAAGCGTATTGGGCCCATTATTGTTCCTTCTATATATTGATGATATATTTCATGTTGCAGGTGGTTGCTCCATGTATCTGTTTGGAGATGATACTCTGCTGTATTATTCTGCTAATAGTTTGCAGAAAGTAACCACTACTATAAATACCACATTAAAGCAAATATATGATTGGTGCTTTTTAATTCATTAAAAGTAAATATTAATAAAACTAAGTTGATGATCATTGAAAATGTTAGGTATTACAATGAATTTACTGAAAATAATATGAAGATTAGTATTGAAAATGATGTTATTGAAGTCTTGAAATAAAATTAAATACTTGAAAGTAGTAGTAGCAGTACACGACCATATGTTGTTTTTTAAAAATCATGCAAACTATATAGTTAAGGAGGTCCTTTCGCCACCAATGTTAAATAAAAAATATTAGATTATGACTAAAATTAATTTTTTTCTAATAGTAGATGTCCTTATTTATCTAATAGTGAACTTTTAACTATACCTTACCGTGCAAATTTTTGAGAAAAATTTTTTTTAAAAATGTGTGTTTGTGCAGTGTCTTATGAGAAAGTAAGACTTCAACAACAATTTTCGAATTATAGTTAATTTTACTATTATTTATTTATTTATTTGTTTATTTATTTATTTATTTATTTATTTATTTATTTATTTATTTATTTATTTATTTGTTTATTTATTTATTTATTTATTTATTTATTTATTTATTTACGGGTCAGAGCCCATTAAAACAATACAATTACAGATAATACATATTACATACATTAAATAGTAATAAAATCCTAAATAATAATAATAAATTAATTTAAATACATAAATATTAAAAACAATTAAAAATTACTCCTCACATATACATAAATGGTTAGAAAAATCTGATGGAGAAGTAATCCATTCTACATTTAGTCTGTTAGCAGATCTTGTTACTCTAGGAATAAAAGAGTGAGAACCATAATTTGTTCTATGAAAAGGTTGAGAGAATGTATTAATATTCCTAGTTACTCTAGAGGGTACATAAAATCCAATTTGGGATAACAAGTATGGACAATCGGCAGATGAGTTAATAATGTTAAACAATATTTTAAGATCCCTTTGGTTTCTTCTGCTCAGAAGGGTCTCAAGATGACAAAGTGTGTGTAATTCGTCATAATTGTATCTGAAGTTGACCGGGACAATACCCGATTTAAATGCAACAATGCGTAAAAATTTTCTTTGAACCTGTTCTATATTATGGATTAGATATACATAAAAAGGATTCCATACAGAAGAAGCATATTCAATATAAGGTCTAACTAAGGCACAATAAAGAATATTTAAACACATCACATTATGAAAATCAGAAGTAGTTCTTCTAAGGAAACCCAACATTCTTAATGCTTTATTAACTGAGGCCGTTATATGAGTTTGAAAAGAAAGGGTGGAGTCTAATATCACACCCAAATCTTTTACCTCTGTAATAGTATCCAGTGTTATGTCATTGATTTTATAGATATATTCAATAGGACTATGTTTTCTGTCGAAATTGATTGCATGACATTTACTTGTATTTAATTCCATTCCACCATTAGTACTACACCATTGGACCAAGTTATGTGATTTTTTAATATTAATTTCTCAATAAGTTCCACGGTTTACTATATATATATTTTATTGTATAAAACAAAATCTAAATATTTCAAAAACCTTATTTTTAGTTTTTTTCTACTCCATCTAATCAATAAATAATAGTATAATTCGAGAATTGTTGTTGAGGACTTACTTTCTCGTGATGCACTGTACAAATACTCACATTTAAAAAAAAAATTCTCAAAAATTTGCAAGGTAAGGTATAGTTAAAAGTTCAGTATTAGATAAATAAGGACTTCAACTATTAGAAAAAAAAATAATTTTAGTCATAATCTAATAACTTTTTTTTTAACATTTGAGGCGAGAGGTGTGGCGAAAGGACCTCCTTAAAACAGTAGCATAGAAAATCAGCTACTTGTACCGGTGCTCAAAATATTTTAATAAATGGTTATTGATTATTTTATATAACAGTATAATTTTGCCTTATTTCACTTATTGTGTCTATCATTCATTTATAAAATTAAACATGGACTAGTTCCCTCTTATTTGCTTGATAAAATCAATTACAACTTTGATTATCATAACTGTAACACAAGAAATATATTTAGTTTTCATATTCTGCAAGTTGCAAGTTAACAGTGCCAAAATAGGGGGTGGGTGGCTCAGTGGTAGAGTATCTGCCTGTGGATCCAAGGGTCCCAGGTTCGAATCCCACCGTTGCGTTGGTCGGAATTTTTTCATTTAATTTAATTATTTAAAATTAATTCTGATGCCTTGGTAGGATTCCCCACTCGACCATTCACTATTGGGGTCTAATTAACAGTGCTGTTCCTAAAGTAGCGCTGGGAAACAGTAACAAAGCCTACACAGAACACGAGGCTAATGGCCTTAGTAATCGATGCCGGTGACACCAAATTAAAAAAAATACAGTGCCAAAATTCAGTATTTTTTAAGAGACTTCAAGCTTTTAATGAGTTACCTCTAGAAATATCGCCTCATTTAATGAGCCAGCATCTGTGATATTTTAGTGTTTACAGTGTTAGATTTGTTTTATATTTTAGATATAGATATATCTATATTTTATTTGTAATTTTGTTTAATCGAATGTGTGTAAAGGAGAAATATATATTATTTTATTTATTTCATTAGTTTCTCAGTGAGACATTTTTTTTTTAATAATGGAGAAACTCGAAGTACTAGTTGTCATAAAAAAATTTCATGTTAAGTGTTTTAAGTCCTACGGAAATTAAAGCTGAGCTAGATTCTGCTTTAGGTTGTTAACTGTTGTCTATGGTCAAAACATGGGTCGTATATTTTAAACATGGCCGTGCAGGCACTAAGAATGCAGAGCGCTCAAGTAGGCAAAAATCAGCTGCGATATGGGTCCTGAAAGTCCATAAAATTGTTTTGAATGTCGTCGATTGAAGTTGGTGGAGATAGCTAAAACTCGGAGAATTTTAAGAGGAAATACATAACAAGCGAAATTTTGAACATGAGAAAGCTATACACAAGGTTGGTGCCGCGATTGCTCACATCGTAGCAAAAAATCCCTGTCCAAAACAATTTTAGAGTAGATTTATAACTATAGACGACTTTAGGTTCACTGTTACACACTGGAGACCAAACGGCTGTCAAGATGAGCAGTGAAAAGTCAATCAGTCCCAAAGAAGGTGAAAACGGTTCCATTAGCCAAAAAGATTATGGCGTCATTATTTTGGGATGAAAAATGCATTATTTTTATTGATTGTCTTGAAAAGGGAAAAACAATAAATGGAAAATAGTATTCTAACCTGTTGATCAACAAATTCTGGAGAAAAGACCTGGATTATCAAAAAAAAGTTTTTTCTACACTTACATGAATATTAGCTTATCTACGCACATACTACAAAACGAAAAAGTATGCTGTTGCGTTCATTTGAACGAATATATTTCAGATCCATCCAAAGTGTTTTTTTTCAGGGTGTTGTCTCTGAGCATTTACTTTTTATTTTGTATTCTATGTATTAAGATGTACAATAATTTGTATTTCATATAAGTATTGTAATAGCTAAATTTAATTACTAGATTGTAAAATTGTATAAACAAATAAATAAAAATTCGAAAATTATTGCCTGCACCTATTTTGAAGAGCTGAACGAATCGATCTATAGGAGCGGCATAAAGAGCCTTTAATTTCGTTGGGCGAAGTGTATTGAGGAGGCTACGTCAGAAAATTGACTTCTTTATTTGGTTTCTTTTTCTTTTAGGCTGGAAAATATTCATCCCCTCCTCATATAACTTTTAAGCTTGTTTAGTTAATGTTTTATAACCTGTTAATTCAAGTAGAACACACTCGGTCAAAGACCTGTACAAACTTTTACAAGAAACAAATGTGATAGTGTAGGCACTATGGGATAAAACATAATAAGACATAAGTCAAATTATGTTTTCTTTTAGAAACACAAAAAGATCATTAAATTACGTGACTTGTCATGGTTTCCCATTTCCCACAATTCATATACACATTATAGGACACTGGAATATCTCACTTTTCTCTTGTTTGGGGGCTTCAAGCTTCTGCAGATATAATATACATCAGTTGCTTAACTTACGACTAATGCAAGGTTTATAATTTTGACAAACATTTTAATAAATTATCAGTTTTTTATCCAGCTAGAGGCAGGATAAAAATCAAAAGTTACACAATAATTATTAATATTTCTCCATAAATAACTTTTCGATCAAAACTATTCGGAACTAAAAATAGTTGTTGATTTTATTTATGTTTAAAATAATTATTAAGTGTACATGGTACAGATATAATTAAAAGGTACTTTCCCCATTTAAATCAGATAGAGGGACGGAGGGAAGGGATTTGACATATGGTAGTTGTCTATATAATGATAGAAAGTTATCCTTGAAATAAAAATCGACCGGTTTTTCCGTTTTTTTTTTGAAAAAAATTCCCTTTTAAGTATTTATGAGGTACAGCTGCTAACCATGTACATTCCACACTAACTACTATATATTTCATTATGGTCTCTTCTTGAATTCAAACATTTGATCTAACCCTTTTCCATTTGTATACCTCACTTAATAAGAAAAATTACATTTTTTTAGGCATACAGACATGTTGATAATGTCACTTTTGAGAATACCAATTTGGTTGAAAAATTCTTAAACTACTGGAGGGTTACAGGACATCAACGAATTGGTTTTCTTTATGGTACCTATGAAACACATCCAGATGTTCCATTAGGTAAGCAATTAGTGCCTATTAAATATTTTTTATTTTGAATTAGTAAAAAATTATAAATTTCTTGAGTTTTACTTTGAGTTATTATATTTTATACTCAAATGATACATAATATTTTTTTGTAGGTATTAAAGCCAACGTTGTAGCGATATATGAACCACCACAAGATAGTTCCCAAAACACAATACGCCTTCTTCCAGATGACAGAGAAGAAGTAGTTGAACAAATAGCAACGTCATTAGGTCTAAGACGTGTTGGTTGGATATTTACCGATCTATTGGCCGAGGATGTTCAAAAGGGAACTGTCAAATATGTTAGGAATATAGACAGTCATCTCTTATCTTCTCAGGAATGTATAATGGCTGGGCATTTTCAGAACCTGTATCCAAATTATAGCAGATATGCGTCCAAGGGAATTTTCGGATCGAAATTTGTCACTGTGTGCGTTACAGGTAACATAGTAACATATTTTTTGATATTATTCTTGTAAAATAGTTTGATTGAATTTTGTGACAATTTTATATATTTGTTCCAGGTGACAAAGCCAATCAAGTCCATATGGAAGGTTACCAAGTATCAAATCAGTGCATGGCTCTAGTTCGAGATAATTGCCTTCTACCTACTAAGGACTGCGCGGAATTAGGTTATGTACGAGAATCATCTGATAAGCAGTACGTCCCAGATGTTTATTATAAGGTGAGTTTTTAACAATTTTTATTTTTAAATACCGTTAAAATATTTATTTGTTAGGCATTGACTTTCCATTTATTAAACCATCCAATCTAAATTCAAAAAAATATCTCACAATGTAGTAATAATTATTTTTGTATTATGTGAGCGAAATCAGTTTTCTCTTTTTGTTTAACAGCGCATGAGAGTCAATTCAATCGAATGCTTCGTAAAACACATTTTTCGCCACAAAATACAAACAATATTTATCCAAGTATACAAACAATAATTCCAATGAGGGCCATTCGCACTGCTTCAGAATAAATGTCCTCCCCTTAGTAAACTGGAACTTATTATTTAAGTATTACTTACCATAGTTTATTTCGCACCAATTAATTAAGTTTTAAATTTATGATTTCTCTGGAAAAAGAAGAAATAATGTTAATTTCCATTTATTTTGATTGTTGAATGATAGTTACGACATCTGTGGGCTATTTAAAACGATAATATGAACCAAGAAGTAAAAAACAAAATAGATTACTCAATGAGAGAAAAATCATTATCAATTCAATTTTAAAAAGGTGCAGTCTATGCCATAACTTTGAAAGATAAGGGTGACGCATGAATTATAATTGACCAATAGTTTAATGCTAATTGTCCAGAAAATAATTGCAGAAAAAAACTCTTAAAAATATTATTATAATTTTATTGTCTATAAAAATATTGGATTTTCATACCTACATATTTATTATAAGGTTACTCTAAATTTGCTTCCTTTTCATCAATGAAATTGAGAACAGTTTCTTTGCCCAACCCTTAGATAAAAGAGACCAGAGATATAACATACACCGGTGTTTAACCTGCGCAAATGTTGCCAATTTCTAAAGAAAGGTTAACAGAGTGGGGGAACTGGGCGGCGACCCGAACTCTGTGACAGGGATCGGACTTTGTTTATTAGCATGAACTATTAGATTTATTTAAAAGATGTTTAATGGAATTTTATATTATGAAATAAAATTAACGTGATTTTTTAATATCAAACCAATGCCACGACATTTTATGTAAAGAGAAGACCTTTTATAGAATATTTCGTTAGCGTTTATTTTCTACGGACTCTTCTGCAAGAGATTACAGTAAAATGTTGAAATAGAATATTGTTAATAGAGCAAGAAATGGTACTCATTGTCTACGAGTATTATAAAAAAAGCATGTGCGCAAGCGAATACTGGAACATTATATTTTTTCTACGGCTATTACATATTTACATGATACATATTTATTTGATAAACATGCGCCGTACGTTGAATCTAGAATTACAAAATCTTTTGCACCTTGGTTAACTCCTACAATACATAACATGATGAAAATAAGAGATAAGGCACTTTCTAAATATAAAAAGTCTAAAAACATCTCTGACTACATTTACTATAAAGATATTCGAAATACTGTTACTTTGGCTATTAGAAAAGAAAAATCTGCGTATCTCGCCCACCATTTTAAATCCAGTAACTCTAAACAATTTTGGAGAACAATACATTCTTTAAATGTTAAAAATAAAGCTATAACTGAAATTTCTGAGTCTTTAAAAAATCCTATTGAGATAAAAAATATTTTTTATCGGTTTTTACCCCTAGAAATGCCTGTCCATTAACCACTCATTATTATAACTCATTTAAATTTAAACCTGATATACGTTTTTCTTTTCGTCTTGCTACTGTTGACGAAATAAGACAAATTGTTATAAATCTCAAATAAAATGCAGTTGGTAGTGATGGTATATCCGCTAAAATGCTACAACTTTGTCTAAATGGAATCGCACCTTTTCTGACACATATCATAAATTGTTGTTTAGAACGTGGTTATTTCCCTGATATTTGAAAATTTGCTTTAGTGAAACCCTTCCCTAAAATTCGAAATCCTGAAAGTTTTAGCGATCTACGTCCTATAAGTATTCTTCCAAACTTCTCAAAAATTCTTGTAAAAACTATTAGTAAGCAAGTGTACGAGTATATTTTTACAAATGGTATTGGTAATAGTCTGGCTTCAGGAAGGGATTTAGTACAACTACTCTTTTATTAAATGTCAGTGACCACATAATAAAATCCCTTGATGTAGGGCTGACTACAGCATTAACACAATTAGACTTTTCGAAAGCATTTGATCCTCTTTACCACTACTTATTGTGCGCTAAACTAAACTATTATGGTTTTGATGATACTTCCTTGAGATTCTTTAAATTTTACTTAAGTAATCGACATCAAAAAATAGTTCTAGATAATAGTTCATCAAATTTTTCATGTGTAACCTCTGGAGTTCCTCAAGGCTCTGTACTGAGTCCCTTACTTTTTCTAATTTACACTGCCGACATAAATTCAGTTATAAATTATGTTAAGATTCAAACTTTTGCCGATGACACTCAACTATACTGCTCATTGATCTAAAAAAACTTCACTAGTATTTCTGACTACGTAAACAGAGACTTAAACGAAGTGGCCAAGTATTCTAAAACTCACAATCTAAAACTAAATGGTAATAAGTGCTCTGCAATGTTCTTCTATCCAAAAACTGCCAATGCAAGTTGCTTAAAAAATATCAAACTGGTCATTGAAAACCAACCTTTGAAAGTTGTTAGTAGCGTTAAAATTCTTTGGCATTATCTTTGATTGCAAATTACGTTTTGAAGAGCATATTTCGTCGTTGGTAAAGAAATCTTATTTAGTTCTTCGTCAGTTATATAGAAACCGAGGTATTTTCAGTTTTCCCTTACAGAAACTTCTTTGTGAGAGTTTAGTTTTATCGATTTTAAATTATGGCTTGGTTTTATTTTATTCTTGTTTAGATCAATTTACGAAATATAGGTTACAAAAATCCAAAACTCATGTTGCTGATTTATTTTTGGATTAAAAAAGTACGATATAGTTTCGTCTAAAATAATACAATTAGAATGGCTCAAAATAGAAAATTTATTTAAATTACAAATGTCTGCTTTAATCTTTCGCATTTTTTCGACTTCTCAACCTGCGTATTTAAAGGACAAATTACTATATCGAGATGTACATAATGTAAACTTAAGATATCCAAACACTCTAACACTACCCAGATTCAATCTTACCATGTTTCACCGTTGTTTTACTTACAATGCTGTAAACCTACTGTTTTTTTATTAAATTGCTATTGTTATATATAAAATAAGTTCTGTAAATCAATTTTTAAGTTTTCTAAATATTATTTTCTTGTAAACAAATTACTTACTGTTTAGAGGCTAAGTGGAGTAGCTTAGCTAGACTTCGCCTCTATACTATATTTTCATGTATTGTATATTACATTGCAAAATAAAGGCATTTTATTATTATTATATATATGTCAATTAGTAAAATTCGTCAATCCCTGAAATGCCTAGTCATTTCACGTATTGCCGGCGAACAGCGTAACTCTACATTTGTTACACCGTTTGCCTAATGGTTTCAGGCATTCCCTGTAATGACGGAATCGTTTCAGTCAAACGCTGTAACTAACTTAAATGATTTAAGTTACTCCGTTTGCTGGGTTTAATTGATGCCGACATATACATCAACATTTTACTTGACAAGCAAACAACATCAAAACTAGTCGTTTTCTCTTAACTGAGTCATAGAAAAATTCACTGAATTATAATCTTTATAATAAACTGAAATAAAATCCCTTAGTACAAATAAATTCAAAAAATTACTATTAAGTTATTATTTCTACTCTGTTGGTATTTTAAACACTTTCAGCAATTTGGATAGAAAAATAAAAAAAAAACAGATCTCATTCAGTAATTAATATATTGTGCCTATAATTTACTTTTATAACCTGTTTTCCACATATGTGCTGTTTTTGTATTTTTTTTTTTTCATATACTTTCTTTGACTTGCTATAAACATTGTAATTAAAATGTAAAATAGTCAAATATATCTATCTATCATCGCGGGATTAAAATGGGTTCATTGGTTTATCGATAATATAATTTGTCAATTGGCCTGTCGGTAAATATGTCTGTCTGTAAATTGACCTGTCAGTCAATTGTCCGAAACCGCTCGAGGCTTTTACTTTTGATGATCTCTGTTTATGTAATTTTTTGTATTAAGTCTATTGAGTGTTAAAGAGTCATTCTACAAAAAATTGAAACGCCCTGCCTATAAAAATGGTAAACTGCAGGCTAAAATTTGTACACCTAATTTACTATAAAATTCCTGCCAGTTTTTTAAAATTATCTCTCAATTCCTCTGCAGTTCGCGCAATTCTTCCGACAACTACCGTAATAGCCAGGCAATCCCCGTGGTTTCCCGTTAATTTCCACAACTACTCAAATTTCTTTAAATCTGTAAATTCCTTGCAATTTTCTATCCTTGCACACCTAATTCCCTCTGCGGTTTCCCTCTTAGTTTTATTATTGTTTCAAGAGGCCCAATATTTTACTTTTCATGATAATTCATAGTTCGCTCTCTAGTGTTTTTCCATATCTTTTTCATATGAATCTAATGTGCTCCTATTCAGGAGTCACTATTGTACATTTATTTTTCATAACTCACTGTTGCCCTTAAAAATAAGAGTCGCCATACGAAACTGTATAGGTCCTTTTATTCTAATATATTTTCAGCCCGTTTTAAGAACGTTTTTTCACACTTTTCTTGATAAAACCATTGGAATATCAATATAACTGAATGGCCTAAAAACACAAAACCGGAATATGTTTGGGTAATTCTTAAGAAACAGGTGTATGAGCAAAAAAGTTGCTTGTTCTTTAATTTTGAATAATAGAGCTTATTAAAAAAAATCCTCTATGAGAATTACTTTCGTAGAAATGTACAACATGGACCAAAAGGTTAAGGTAATTTAAAATTATAAAGAATGGCAAATAAAATAAAATAGTTATTTATGCAACAAGTGTGTAAAGTTGTAATTTTTGGCACATTTTACTTTTTTCACTAGTGCGTAAAGTAATATTATATTTCTAATATTAGTGGATTATGTGTACGGTAGTAGAAAAAATATTGTATGCCACT